GGTCCCCCCCCCCCACCCTTCTTGCTTCCAGTAGGTTACGTGGGCAGGATGATCCTTTTTCCAAACAGTATGAAAATGTTGTTTAGGTGTGTAAAAGTGAAATAAGGTGTGACTTCTTTGACTTTATGCTCTGAAGACCTATTAAACAGACTCTTTTCTAAATGTTATTGTGCAAAAATGGAGTCACCTCATGGCAGAGGTGATATCTTCATAGTTTCATTTGTTTCATAGTTTCTAGGGTCGGAAGGGACCTAAGTAGATCATCTAGTCTGACCCCCTGCCATGGCAGGAAAGAGTACTGGGGTCAAACGACCCCAGCAAGGTGTACATCAAGCCTCCTCTTAAAGACCCCCAGGGTAGAAGCCAGCACCACTTCTCTTGGAATTCTCTTTCATTAGACCAACTAGATATTTGCCAAAAAAAATGTTTGATGTACAAGCTTTCAGGCACACTCACCCTTCTTCAGGTACAGGAAAATGCAAAGATTTAAAATTTCTCCTAGGTGGAAATGAAAATACATATTTCACAGGAGAGCTGAAGGTGTTGTGAGATCTCCTGGTTGGAAAAGTTCATGTTTCATAGTTAAAAGTTCATGTTTCATGTTGTGCCTATTAGGCTCAGATAATAGAGCAGTCTGTTTACCTCGAAGTTGTCTGATGGCAAGCAGGATGTTGAATTATGCTTCCTTCTGGTTATGTTGTTTCACATTTCATGGGAGCACAAGGTGATGGAATGGTCTTCTGGTGATAAAAGATATCACCTCTACCACAAGTTCTGATTCTTTTTGCCTATAGACCAATACAGCTATGACCTGTAGCCCTGAAACTGTGCATAAATGTAATTTTGTTTGGCTTCTTTTTTTTTAGGTTTACTATGAGTTTCAACAGGCATAACTTGAAATATGATGTATTGCCCAAAAAGCCAAAAAGTGTGGCAAAGGATTGCTTAGATTGGATCAAAAAGCATCATCCATGTAAGTACTGAAGCCTTCTTGCAGTTTGGTGGGCTCATTCACATTGATATCAGTTGCAATCCTTGTTTAAGGCAATGGGAGATAGTATAATGTCATAAAACATTTTTATTTTCCTGCACCTTTCATAGGATACAGAGAAGAGCAAACGTGGGAGGCAAAATAATGGGATTGATTGATTTAAGGATTTGGGATTAATTGATAGGACATATTAAAGTATTTTTTCCTTCTGGGATTTGAAAAGCAGGAAGCGAATGGAAGGGATGCTTCTGTTAAAAATATTCAGACAAAAATATCTTCTATTGGCAGAGTTGCTTTTCCTCTGTAAACAGATATTGCATTTATTATTTTTAGCAACCTCTTCATAATGCAAAGCTGGTATGACGTAGGAAGTAGAAAACCCAACATCGCAGCACAAACTTTCTTTGTGTTCACAGATGACTCTGGAATAGTTTATTGCCTTTCACGGCATGAATGTGATTCAACAGCTAGAATTCTAAAGGATGGTGGTCTTGCTGCACTTGCCTATCATGCTGGCCTCCAGGATGCTGAAAGAGATCTTGTACAAAAAAAATGGATTAATCAGGAAGGCTGTCAGGTAAAAGCAAACAAGAGAAAGTTAATGGAGCTTCCACAGGATATGCTGGAATACTTGTGTATAAAAAAAAAAAAAAAAAAAAGAAAAATGAGAAAGTTGGTATACAACTTTTACAAAAGTACCTGTAAAATTAAATAATGTTTTAAGGACAGAGTTAGAAGAAAGGGCAGATGCTAAAGTCAGCATTGTTTCACATGGAACATTTTGAAGCTCTGGTAATAACATTTGTAAGAAGAAAGTAAAATATTTATACATGCAAAGGCCTTGAGCCTTGCAATACTGCTGTGACGTAGGAAGTAATTCTAGAGATGAAGGAAATGAGGCAGAAAGCAGTAATTTGCCCAAAATCACAGCCAGTGCATGTGAGAGCAGGACTAGAACTCTGATGTGCTCTCAAACACCAGACTCTTCTTTCTGAAGAAGTAACTGATGTTTATAAAGATTAGTTTTTTATTCTTCTTGGAGGGCACCAGCATTAATTTTACATTTTGTACTATAACATATTGCATCAATAATGAGCATAGTTCTGAGTGTATAATAGAATCATAGAGAAATAGGGCTGGAAGGGATCTCTAAAAGTCATTCAGTCCAACTAATCATCCCTATCCAAACCATCCAATACAATCTATAATCTAAACTCTATGTAAGACTACCATTGACCCTGACGCAACACAGACCTAACACCTGAACCTGCCACAAGTAAAGCAGGGGACCTACGGCAGCCAGCACCCTGCTTCTATGGACTGTTGTCAGTGGGCGCATCTACACGAGACGCTCACTGCGCAGTAGGGTGCTGGGCAAAAACCATGCTAATATGCTACTGCGTAGTAGTATTAGGCTACTGCACAGTAAGTGTCACTAAAAACTTGTGTGCTGGGACTACTGCCCAGTAGCGTGAGTCGCTGCACATTGGTTAACCAAGTACTATACTTAATGCACCATAACTGGCGCATTAATATAGACACACCCACTATATATTCAAGAGATCCCAGGTAGAGGCTGTGCCCCATGCTACAGAGGAAGACGACTCTCCCCCAGTCCATACCAATTTGACCATGAGGTAAAATTCCTTCCTGATCCCAGATATGATGTCAGTCTGACCCTGAGCAGAGGGGCAAGACCCTCTAGCCAGGAACCTCTGGGTTTGGTCCCAGCAGGAGCATTGGCATAGCCCAGTCAAAGTCCCCAGCTTTGGGCTGCAGCCAATGTCCAGTGCCTTTGAGGAAGGCTTTAGAACCCCCTGACACATGTAGCAGAAAGGGAGGGGAGCAACCAGCAAAGCCCAGAAGCCTGAGAAATCCCCGTAGTAGAACATAGGCGTTGCTACGCCTAGATCATTCCCGACCAGTGGCTATCCAACCTCTTGAACACCTCCAGGGACAGAGAGTCCACAGCTTCTCTATGCAGTCTTTTCCAGTGCTATAATAATGTATGACTTTTTTAATTCTAGGTCATATGTGCAACAATTGCTTTTGGCATGGGAATTGATAAACCAGATGTACGCTATGTGATCCACGCATCTCTCCCTAAATCAGTTGAAGGCTACTATCAAGAATCTGGCAGAGCTGGACGAGATGGTGAAACTTCTCACTGTCTGCTTTTTTATAGTTACAGTGACGTAACTAGGCTGAGAAGGCTAATATTAAGTAAGCAGCAACTCTTCATATCACCACAGGGTGACAATAAAATAAGCTTTTGTTCTGTTCTGATTTATAGGGTGGGCTGCCCTTTGAAAATGTTCAACATGCCATATACTGTCCTGCATCAGTATGGTTTCAGGGTTCCTCCAGCTTGCTTTTATGGTCTGTCCTAATTCTAAGGGATTCTAACATTGTTTTTTATTAAAACGCAAAATCAGTTTTTCCTTATTCTAAATTCCCAAGCCCTTCCTATTAATTAATTAAAACACTTTTGTGGCTTTCTTTTTATCTTGTCTGTTCTTAACATCTGGAAGTTTAAGTCAGTCTTGATGGACTTAAAACACATTGTTTTTATTTAGATAAATAATCTTATCTAACTATGGCTGCTTGAGGACTGCAGCATACATTTGATCAACAGTAATATACAGAAAGACTGAAGATGTGTAACTAATTCTGTTTCAGTGGAAAGAGATGGGAACAGTCATACAAAACAGACCCACTTTAACAACCTTTACAGTATGGTTCATTACTGTGAGAATGTAGTTGAATGTCGAAGAATTCAGCTTTTAGCCTATTTTGGAGAAACCAGTTTTAATCCTAACTTCTGTAAAGAACATCCAGAAGCAACTTGTGACAACTGCTCTAGAAAAAAGGTAAAAATTGCAGTTTCTGTATATGAGAGTTCTTAAACTTCCTTTGTGGTTACATACCTTAGAAAGACTTCTTAATATTGCACTCTTGAAGACAGAGAAATGCTGAACAGCACCTTGTGTGTCCTCTGGTATGGGGTGTTCTGAGCAGCTACTTGTGTACTCAAGAAACTTTTGGCAGGGGACTGATTAGATGCAAGGATGTCCTCAGCACTCCTTGCAGCCAGGACTAGATGGCACAGGATCTACTGGCATGGTAGCACACAACAGGAATTCACCATGGATCAATCCGGCAGCTGCCACAGAACGTGAAATTTAAAGCAACTTTGTGCTGCCAGGTGGCACAAAGAACTGATTTATTTGGAATGAGTGCAAGAGATTTTTTTTTCCTCCCTGCAAAATGTGAGGTTCTTTTAACAAACCTGCTGTTTCATTTTAACGGAGTTGTAGAGCAAGGGTGTCAAAGATAATGCCTGGAGGCCAGATCTGGTCCACAGTACCTACCTGTGGGTCTCAGACCATCCCCACATGCAGCATAGGGAGCTGATCTGGCATGCACTACACGCAGCCAGGGTTGTGGCCAGTACGTGTGCTGCACACAGCACCTGCACCTGATTAGTCCCACACACCATGGAGCATGTACTGTGGACTGGCCCTTGCACTGCCTGCAGTGTGCATGCTGCTCCAGCCCCATGTGCAATGCATGCCACACCAGCTCCATGCATGGCATGCAGCATGCAGAGCTGGTCTGGGGCACATGCTGCATATTGCACCTGCACCATTATGGTCTTGCATGTTGGATCTGGCCTAAGGTCGATCTGAGGGCCCAATCCAGCCTGTGGACGTAGCCCTGTGACCCTCATCTGTGCCACAGGACTAGATGATTTTGATATCTTTGGTTTAGAGGACTTCAGACACTAATGCCCTGATGCCCTCTTGAGGTTAATAATTAGTTTGTTCCTATTTTGCAGGTAGGGAAACTCAGACAGAAGTATTGCTCTTCAGTCTGGTGCTCAGACCACTATCCCAGCTCTTCTCAGCTTTTAAACCAGGGATGTTGTTGTTTTTTAATCATTATTCAGCATCAGTAAAAACAAAGCCGTAGCTTGCTCTCCATGTTTTAAAATTGAGGCATCTACCACTCATTAATTTTAAAAGCTCTATATTTATTTCTGGGATCTTTTAAAAATAACTGATTTCAATTAACAAAGTACTTAAATTGTATTATTTATAGTTTGAGTGCATAGCTTATTAAATCGATTGCATTAATTTTGTGGAACTGTAAAAAGCTGTAAAATCTTATTTGTTTTGCATTTTCAAAGGATCGTTAAGTAATCCAGAATTCCCATGGTGATGCTATAACATTACAAACATAGTAAATAAGCAATAACTGCTTCTGTGTATAGATCAAAATGAACTCCACATTGAAAGAACCCACTAATGAAAAACAAAGTTGTCAGTAGTGAGTTGGAATTCGTTGTGGTGGAAATAAACGCCTATTAAAAATAAAAATAAATATATCCTTACAGGATTATAAATCCAGAAATGTGACGGATGATGTGAAAAGTATTGTAAGATTTGTTCAGGAGCACTGTGGACAGAGAGGAGGAAGAAGAAGTGCAGGAAACGGAGGTTCTGGGAGGTATACATTGAACATGATGACTGACATTTTCTTGGGTAAGTTCTGTTCTTTGAACAAGTGCTAAATGTTTGTTGAGGGTCAAATCCCAGCTATATTTCTAAGGCCTGGGCAGTAGCTTGAAATGAAATAAAGAAACAAAACTATCCTTCCCCTAAGCCAAGGCCCCTGGAAGACATTCAGTGAAAGGTGCTGTGGGATCTGTTGTGTGATCCCAAGTCATGCTTTCTATTGTGCTGCATGTACATGGCAGGAGACTCCATATTACTGGTGCAGGAGAAGCCCAGGATCATAATCCCAGGCTCCCCCTGGACTGTTAAGTAGCAAGCCAGTCAACTGATACCTGCTCCCACCCTTGGGACTGCATTGGAGTTGGGGGCTGCAATGCACCCCTAAGGCTGGGAGCCCAAATCAGCTGATGCCTGGCCACATGTGCAGTTTAAGAGATGAGGGGAACCAGCCACAAAAGGCGCCTCTACACGAGCACCAGGGTTGCTCCAATTCCAGCACATTGGAGCAGACTATTAATCGAGTTTGCTGGAGTATGGCAGTTGCCCTGCTCCAGCAGCCTCCTATCTCGTGTATCCACATCCCTGCGCTTAAAAATGACAGTGAAGGTGCATGAACTAAAGCTCATTGAATGAGCTGTAGTCCAAGCGCCCCCACCACCATTTTTAAGTATGAGGACACTGATACAGGAAATGCAGCGGTGCTGCAATTAGAGCAGTCCTTGGAGCTGCTTTTATTAAGGCACTGCCCTCATCCCCACCTCCAAAGCCCATGTAAAAGTGCACAAAGCTGTTATATATTTTGGGTAATTGTGGCTTATTCCATGTTTTATTGCGCCATTAATTGCATTAATGTGTGGCCAGGTTACTATTAAAGACTTGATTAACTGGTTAATCACATCTTAAGTGTAACATCTGCCAGGGGTCCAAGTGACACACACTCTGGAACAAATAAAGCCACCCTTTTAACATGATTGTGTCAGGTAGACATATGTCTGTATATAGTGTGATATGATAATTAAATTGAAGTTCTTGTGCATCACACTCTTTATGTGAGCAGACTAGGAAATGGCTTCATAAGCTACCATAGTTTTGTGCTGTACTGATTTATTCTGGCAAATCAATTCTGTTACTTTTACTGCACAGGTGTGAAAAGTGCAAAGATTCGGACTGGCATATTTGGGAAGGGAGCTGCCTACTCAAGACATAATGCTGAACGGCTCTTTAGGAAGCTGGTGCTGGACAAGATCCTGGATGAAGATTTGTATATCACTGCGAATGACCAAGCAGTATCATACGTAATTGTAGGAGAGCGAGCACAGGCTGTACTAAATGGGTATCTAGAGGCGCGTACCAAATATATCTATTTCTTGGAATCCGAGTGCTTGCTTCTGTATTAAAATGACACTGATGTTGCATTTTTTCTATTTAAAAAAAAAAGTGTTGTCTGGAATTCAGAGTGTGAACGACAGGGTAGTTTAGAAACGAAGCACGTGTCAACAAACTTCAGTACAAAGGTGGGTTATGTTCTGGCAGATATGGGGCTTAGCATGACCTAAAAATGAGACATGGGAGGCAACAACCTGCAAGAGAAGACGTTGAATTGAGAGAAAAGTCTGTCTGCCTAGACTGTGGGAAAGAGGTTAAAGGAAGGAGTAACTGTTTCTGTGAGTGAGTGAGTGTTTTAGGGCAGGCGGGGGAAAGGTTGGGTTTTGCCCATCCCCTTTTTAGCCCTAGCCCTTTCTGTCACCCTTGTCTTTTGCAGCCAGTGTTGAGCTCTGGTGAAAGCTGCAGTTCGGGGGGTTGCAGAGCCTGCTTTATGGCCTATTGATGCCACAACTCCACACCAGGTAGCGTGTAGGTCAGGAGAAACCCTTCAAGCACCCAGGCCTCAGCATTAGCTCACACACAACTAGCTTTGCTTTTGATTGTGGTTTGGATGGGATTTTGTTTCTGTTTCAGACCCCCAGCCCCTTGTAGGAAAGGGCTGCAGGATTCAACAGGTTAGAGCTAAGAGCGTGGATCCCTGGTGAAAGTCTGAAAATGTGAGAAAAGGTTGTTTTAGCTCACAGAACAGATCATCCAGAGCAGGGGTGTCAAACTCATTGGAGTTGGTGGGCCAGATCCAGGCTTTGGTGCTTCTGGTCATGGCTACCAGAGCCACTGTGTCCACATGTGAGGGTTAATGCTGTAACACTGTGGGTGCTGGTGCCACCAAGGCAGAGCTGTGGCAGCCACAGCAAGAAGCCTTGTGGACTGTATCTAAAACTAGGTCATATGGATCATGAAGTCCTGCAGGCCAGATGTTTGACACCCCTAATCTTGAGTTTCATAGATGTTAGGGGCTGGAAGGGACCTGACAGATCATCGGGTCCAACCCCCCTACACTTGGGCAGGAAAGACTGCTGGGGTCAGATGACCCCAGCAAGATGGTTTCTTGTTGTTGGGGGACACACAAAATGTTGAAGGTAAACAGTTTCATGTTCCTTCCTCCAGCTATTCCTGTCTTGTTTAATAAAGGCAGGTTTCTGCTATTCAGCAGCTCAGTTGTTTCCTTAATGGTTGTTGTGATACAAATAACTTGTTAGTACACTAACTATTTTCATTTTAACAGGTGCAGTTTCATGAAACAGAGTCTGCCAGCAGTCTCCGAAAGCAAAGGGCTTCAGTGACAAAAATGTCACAACGGGAAGAAATGGTTAAGAAATGCCTTGTGGAGCTTACAGATATGTGCAAAACTCTTGGGAAAATCTTTGATGTCCATTATTTCAATATTTTTAACACTTCTACTCTCAAGAGAATAGCAGGTAAGTTTTACTTTTCCTTCTTTGGAACTTCCTTGTGGAAAAGGCAATTATATTATAGTCTTTTCCAGTAGAAATTAGAAAAACTTAATTTCTATCCTGAGCTAGCCAGGCTGTTTCTATAAATCATGGATTAATCCTGCCCTTTGTGGGAATCACTGGTACAGCAAAACTCTTGATCTTGTGTTTTACGAGTCCTTCTAGTTCAGAACAGGACTCATCACTGGATTGGCCCTCACACTTATAGAATCATAAATTCATAGAACATGAGGTCTGGGAGGGACCTCAGGAGGTCCCATCTAGTCCAACCTCCTGCTCAAAGCAGGACCAGCCCCAGCCCCAGCTACATCATCCCAGCCAGCCCTTTGTTGAGCTGGGCCTTAAAAACTCAAGCATGGAGAGTCCACAACCGCTAGGTAGCCTGTTCCAGTGCTTCACCACCCACCTAGTGAGAGTTTTTCCTAGTATCCAGCCTAAACCTTCCTTACTGCAGCCTGAGCCCATTGCTCCTTGTCCTGTCGTCTGCTCCCACTGAGAAGTCCAGCTCCATCCTCTTTGCAGCCCCCCTGCAGGGAGCTGAAGGCTGCTATTCAATCCCCCTTGGTCTTCGTTTCTGCAGACTAAATCAGCCCACTTCCCTCAGCCTCTCCTCACCAGTCCTGTCCCCCAGCCCCCCCCCGACTTGGGAGCAATAGTATGAGGACAATCTAAATACTTGCCTTCTGGTGTTTGTTTTATACTAGTCATCTTGAGGTGCTCGTCTGCTGGGAGGCATGTCTGTATCCACTTGGGGACCTAACATGTGCTATGATACCTGTGTGGGTGAATTTCCTGTGTACTACTTGCTCTGTGATGATGTTTTGTCCTGATTTCTCTCCAAATCTCTTCCTAAGATCATGCCCACCAGTGCATATTTATTGTCTTTTTGCACATTAACCTTTGAAAACTCTTCAAAAAGGACTTGAGAGACTTTTCTTTGGGTCCAGTGTGTAGTTGGTTTAGTATGTGGATGCTGGCTTCTAGTTCTGATAGCTATCTTTTGATACAGTTTCCAAAAATATGTTTGTGAGAACTGGTTGTCTAATTTATTCCAGTCTCTGTTTAATTTGCATTTTAAAGGTACAATTGTTCCTTAATTTAAAAAAATGTATGCACAAAATCTTTATCTAATCCAATTTCTTTACATTTGTATCTAGAAACTTTGTCTTCTGACATGGAGGTTTTGCTTCAGATTGATGGTGTTACAGAGGACAAACTGGAGAAGTATGGCGCTGAAATAATTAAAGTCATGCAGAAGTACTCTGAATGGACACTGCCAGGTTTTAGTATCCCTTGTATCTAAATGTGTGTGTGGGGGGGTTTAATGATTAAAATCTTCCACATATGGACTTAACGTAAACAGACAACCATGTTTAAGTCATACAGATTTATGGCCTACTCGGACATAAGATAGAATGGAAAGCTCCATGGATTTGCAGAGCACATAGAGGTCCTTAACCAGGCTAGGAAGTTGAAAATTCATTCTAACTTTAAAGAAACTGGGCTTCAGATTGGCACTTTGAGTAAGGAAAACTGAATGCTACTTTTCTGGGAATAAAGAGGAGGCTAAGGGTTCAGTGCTTTGCACTGCATTTTTCTATTCACATCAGCTGTCTATGGGGTAGAATTGCAGTATGTACAAATACTGCAACGACTGATAGATAACAGCTACCTTGTGCACTTCATGGTATCTGACATCTAGTCCAGTTCTCCACTGGTTTGTGCTGTGCTCACATGCAAATAACTTCCAAAAATGTAGATGCAAAATGCTGCTGAATCAAAATGGTAACATTTCACTCTGAGCTCACCCAGATACAATTAACCACACAAAATACACCACAGATTCTAGCACCATGCGACTAGTACATCAGGTAACTTCTTCTGAGCCTTGTGCTGTAGCCCACCTCAGAATGACAAAATCTAAATCTTGCAGAGATCGGCTACTGAATGCTGCACGGGCTTGCAATTGTAAGTGTATTTTTAGTTTCGCTAGAGGAAGCTGTGGGTCCTCAACTAGCAGAAGCAGTAAAGTAATTGCCACAGCTGCTGTGAGTGCATGCCTGGCAGAGGGTGGGGATGAGGAAGTTCCCTTGGAATAAAAAGTTGGCTGCGTAATTTATCATTTTGGTATTTATGATGCTGCATCGTGTAGCATTTATTCCAATCAGTGTTGGTTGGGAGTGGGCTCTTAGTCACGTTGCTGAGGTTTTCAGCTAAGGGTGGTATTAAACATGGATTCTTTAACTTGGGTGATGTTAAAACTTTGCCACAAGCATTGGTGGACTGTGACTATCCATCCCTGCTTAGCTGATGAGGGAAGGGTCTGGCAGTAGCACAGAGCCAGCAGTGAGGCTTGTGTACCACATCATTACCAGCACGATGTAGAAAAGGACCTCATCGGAGAAAAAGGGGTTGGATGTTACTTCTTCATGTTCGGCTGATCTGGAGCTGCACTTAGGCTGTTCTCCGACAGGAATAAGGGTCCCTAAGAAGGGTTCTGGGGAAGGTGCTGAGCATCACTCTCATGAAGGCAGTGCAGAGTTTTCAGCCACTTTGCACAAAATGTCATTGCTTGCTGGTAGTATTTTAGCCCAAGGTTATGAGCTTTTTGTGTTAGCCAATATAATTCAGTTGTGTTGTTTTTATACCCAATGTCCATTCGTAGAAGAAGATTATGCAACTGCAGGCAAAGGGCCTGGGAGTGCAGGAATGCTTGAGAGCGATGAGGAGTCAGAAGAAACGGGCACAACTTCAAGCTATTTTAACAACAGGACAAACAAAGGAAAGAGGAGGAAAAGGTTTCCACCCTTCAAACAAGCCAAGAAGAAAAAAACAAGCCAGGGTGGTGGTCAACAGTCTTATTCAAAGGGGTATGTCGTTTTGTTGCTGTTTGCAATGTTTCTGAAATGAAACCAAAGTTAGTAGGAAAGTGGATGGGGAGAGCAGCATGAAAAGCATGGATTTGGAAGTATGGATTTGTTTCTTCAAGAGGCAAGGACTTTTAGGGGGTGTGATATCTTTTATTGAACCCACTGCATGGTTGGACTTGTTACTTCCTTGATTGTTTATTACTGTACAGTGGTGCTGGGCACACTGCAGAAACTGGCTAACCCCAGTGGCTCCAGAAGTGAATGATTCTTGTACAGGTGTGAGGAGCGCCTCTCACTTCAATGTTTGTGAAGGGTTTAGAGGGTGGAACGCAAAGCAAATGAGCTTGAGTCACAGTAATCTCCTTGCTCTTAAAGAATCCAGGAAGGGATGTGTTTTAAGTGGAAAACAGTTGGAAGGGGTTTGAAGTAAGACATTTCTCGCCTTACTTCCTCATGTATGCTCTGTACACAAGTGCCATTTTAGTTAAGTTAAGGAGGTGGCAGGCTTAGAAGCGACCCATCCCATAGAATGACAGCAAACTGAAAGAGCCAAGGACTGAAAAGATGACAACTAATTACATAAGAAATATTTTCAGATAAGGAAAAAATGTTCTAAATATGCTTCCGTGCCTTCTCTCTGGAATCTGCCTCCTGTTCAGTTGCTTGATTTTTGGAGGGGGCAGAAAGGCAGGCTTTCCAAACTCTGTATGGGTCCCCAGCGGGTTCATAGCTCTACTTTGGTCATACCACATGGGGCAGAAATTGGGCAGGCTCTTCTCCATCTGGCTGTAATCGCAGCGTGTGGCCCCAGCAGTCTGCTAGTCCTTGGCCCTCTCCCCCTGGTTTCACCACATGCGATGAGCCTTTCCAGCTCCTAGGCATACAGAGATCCTGGGTAAGCCAGGCTTTGCTCCAGCCTCCAGGACTGAAACGTCCATCTTGCCTTTCAGATGAACCTTTTTTGCTGTCTGTTAACATAGCTACTGCTGTAGCATAAGCGATAGTAGTCTGTCCAGGATTTATAGTTCAGACCTGGATGATGCATGACAAAGGGGAAAAGTTGTAGATTTTAATAATAATAGTAATAGTAGTAGTAATATTATTATTATTATTATTATTATTACTTTTTCCCCTTAAAAAGAAACTAGAAAAATAAATCCACAGTGTTTAAAAAGACAGTGACATGTAGGCCAGTTGCCTAGGATGAATTTGGTAAGTTGGCTATAGGTTTAACACTTCTGTTCTAAATGAAAGAAAATATAGGGATTGATGTTGGTTGGTATCACGCTGATGTACTAAAAAGGTTTTTCTCTCTCTTTAAATTCCTAGGGGTTACAGCAAATACAAAAAGACATTCAACTCCAAAGCCTCAGCTGCACCTAGTTACAGCTCATCAACATATGGGATGACAGCAGCGCCAGGACTCAGTAGGAAACTGGGGATTATGGCACCACCGAAGCCTCAAAATAGACAGTTCCTTAAACCTTCATATTCATTATTATAACTGCTAGAATGAAACTGTATATAACTACCTCTCTGTGTGTTCAGCCTGTCTTGTACTAACTGTTATCTGGTTTTGAAACTATTTAATGTCTGCATATATCTGTACATTTTGTTTTCCAAATCCAAAAGGTAATGTTTAAATAAATGTTTTTAATGACCTACATTCATTCAGAACTTCTATACTTTTTTTTTCTCCATGCTAAATATTGATCGCATAGGAGAGCCTGCTCATTTTGATTAGGAATAGAAGCCTGAGTGTTTTCTTGGGATTAATTATTGCAAAACGGCCCTAATTCTTTGACAGCTATGTTTGGAGTGTGCTTTTCTGGCAACGAGCTCAAAACCCCTTGCTAGAAAAGGTGCTTGGAGTCAGGAATCAGGGACATATTTGGTAGCCATGTTGGTCTGAGACAAAGAAATGCAAAAATCTAGAACTCGTTTCAGAAATGATACCTTTTATTAGACCCACTGGGAAATTGCGAAAAAAATATCTTTTTCTGCAAGCTTTCGGGCTCAAAAGTCAGGAATAACACTGACCATGCTAATAAGAGGTACCGCTTCTAGCTGCCTCCATTCTCCACTGTCAGTCCTTTCAGTAGCTCAGAAAGTACTTTACTGATCTCAGAACCATTTCTGGACAACGCATAAGTATTCAGATGACTTTCTCATGGTTTTAGACACGAGCTTAATTCAGTTCTGTGTTTGATAGTCGTAGACCTGGGCCTGCCTGGGGAATCTGAAGCCCACATACAGAACTTATGCCAAAGCTGCAAGGCTGCTGTGGTCTGTGACAGACCAGCCTTGAAAAGAAGGGCACACGAGTGTCGTCTTGCCTTTGCAGGTGGTCTGTAGCCTGTGCTGTCCAGAGCTCAGGGGCCACGTGCCCACTTGATACATGAATGTACAAAGCTATACTTTTATAGACTGTTTTGTAGGCTTTCAAGGCCAGGAGAGACTACTGCAATGATCTAGTCTGAACCCCTGAAATACATGAGAGAAGTTTGTCAAACCTGTAACTTCTGGCTAAACTTTACAGCTTGTCTTTTCATCCCAAAGACTCAACGATGGAAAATACTACGTGCCAACAGGTTGTGCCGATGGTTAATAATTTTCACTGCTGGTCACGTGGATATTATTTTTAGCTTGGATTTGTCTAGGACTCTAACCTTTTCCTTTTGTCTGCTGGAGTAAAGACCACGCCATTGAAGATCTTGTTATGAGGGGACTCAGCCCATAACTAAATCATTCCTTCACTACCTGTTTTGACCAATTAGCTTGAATGCTTCTGGGTGAGACCCAGCAGGAGACTCGGGGACCTGTGTGTTTGGTACCTGCATCCCACAAAGTTAAATGCAGTGCACGGATAAAGTCGGGCAAGGCTTTTTGGGTCAATGTGGTGGTCTCTTATTAGACCGATGCAATTGCTGGAAAAAAGTTCTTTGCAAGCAGCTGACTTGTGACCCCCTGATGGTGTCAGATGCTGTGAGGGGCTCCTCTTCCTGGCAGGACATGCGGCAGGGGCACAGGACGCTTGTTGCGGGGTCCCATGCTCGGACCATCAGCATCTCAGCCATTGGCTGATGGGCCTTCAGATTCCTCCTGGGATCTCCACGCACCGCGAGCAGCGGATTCAAAAGAGCGGGTCTGAATGAACTGAATCGGATTCGGATCCTTCCTAAGGCCTTGATGCGGGACAGATCTGAATCCAGTTCGGTCCGTTCAGCTTTGCTCCCTGTGGTAGGAAGGGTTCGCATTCAGTCCCTTCGGACCCGGCTGCTTCGCAGTCACTCTACTTTGGGGGTCATCCCGCTCGCTCGTGTGCAGGCGGAAGCGCCGGCGCCCCTCGGCCCCGTCCCCTCCGCGCCGGGGGGAGGGAAGCCGGTGAGGAGGAGGCGGGACCGCGTAGCCGAGATGCCGCGGGCCTGGGAAGGCCGTGAGGC